TGACAACTGATGTTATCATCACTATACGTCTGTACTGACAACTTACGTTATTATAAATATACATCTGTACTGACAACTGACGTTATCAAAAATATATACGTCTGTATTGACAACTGACGTTATCATCAATATACGTCTGTATTGACAACTGACGTTATTATAAATAAACATCTGTACTGACAACTGGCGTTATCATAAATATACGTCTGTACTGACAACTGACGTTATCATCAATGTACGTCTGTACTGACAAATGACGTTATTATAAATATACATCTGTACTGACAACTGACGTTATCATCAATATACGTCTGTATTGACAACTTACGTTATCATCAATATACGTCTGTATTGACAACTGACGTTATTATAAATATACGTCTGTACTGACAACTGACGTTATCATCAATATACGTCTGTACTGACAACTGACGTTATCATCAATATACGTCTGTACTGACAGCTGACGTTATTATAAATATACATCTGTACTGACAACTGACGTTATCATCAATATACGTCTGTACTGACAACTGACGTTATCATCAATATACGTCTGTACTGAAAACTGACGTTATTATAAATATACGTCTGTACTGACAACTGGCGTTATCATCAATATACGTCTGTACTGACAACTGACGTTATCATCAATATACGTCTGTACTGACAACTGACGTTATCATCAATATACATCTGTACTGACAACTGACGTTATCATCAATATAAGTCTGTACTGACAACTGACGTTATCATCAGTATACGTCTGTACTGACAACTGACGTTATCATCAATACACGTCTGTACTGACAACTGACGTTATCATCAGTATACGTCTGTACTGACAACTGCCGTTATCATCAATATAAGTCTGTACTGACAACTGACGTTATCATCAGTATACGTCTGTACTGACAACTGACGTTATCATCAATATAAGTCTGTACTGACAACTGACGTTATCATCAGTATACGTTATCATCAATATTTGGGGCGGACGGGTAGCCTAGTGGTTAAAGCGTTCGCTTGTCACGCCGAAGACCCGGGTTCGATTCCCGACATGGGTATAATGTGTGAAGCCCATTTCTGGTGTCTCCCGCCGTGATATTGCTGGAATATTGCTAAAAGCGGCGTAAAACCATACTCACTCACTCACTATCATCAATATTCGTCTGTACTGACAACTGGAGCTATCATCAATATTCGTCTGTACAACTGACGTTTAGATTCACACTACTGTACTGACAACTACTATTTACTCCAATAAACTACTATACCCACAACTCATGTTTACTCCAACACACTACTAAACCGGCAACTTCTGTTAAATCAAAACACACAACAATGCAGTCAATTACTGTTTACTTCAATACACTACCATACAAACAACTACTGTTTACTCAATTCACTACTATTCACACAAATACTGTTTACTCATTACACCACTACACAGATAACTCATGTTTACTCAATGTACTACTTTTCAGACAACTACTGTTTACTCAATACACTACTATACAGACAACTACTGTTTACTCAATACACTACTATACAGACAACTACTGTTTACTCCAACACACTACTATACAGACAACTACTGTTTACTCAGTACATTACTATACAGACAACTACTGTTTACTCAATACACTATTATACACACTAGTACTGTTTACTCAATACACTACTATACAGACAACTACTGTTTACCCAATACACTACTATACAGACAACTACTGTTAACCCCAGCACACTACTAAACAGACAACTAGTGTTTACGCAGTGCACACAGACAACTGCTATTCAGTAATACAGCACATGGTATTTTATGCTTGCACAAGAAAAAGATTATTTGTTGTAAAAGTTTTGAAACATATTTGTGTGCACAAAACAGGGAGTTTTGTTCACAACTGAACATAAACAAAGGGAATAAATGAGTTGTGATTATAACTGCCATGGGTATCATACAAAATTCATAATTTCTTTCAAATATCTTTAGGGACCGTTTAAGTGTTATCTGTTTCTGTACATTACATAAAGAACATGAACTGGCCATTGATTAGTTGGGATAGTGTTTATTTCATGACATGATCTCTTTGGTTCAGAAAAGTAAATATTATTTTGGGAAAGTTTTACGAAATTGCAGATCAAACTGTGTTTCACTTTCGATAAGTCCACATAATAATGAGCTGAAAAATACGCCTATTCTACCTAATCTGTCAACATTGACAATATAGATAACTTCTGTTCACATTCACAGCAGCACTAGAAGAGGTCTAATATTTTATTGGAACTAGAAGAGGTTAATACTTTATTGGAATGTATTGCAGGTTTATATATTCACTCACTCACCCACCATTTCATGTTGTAGAGTGGCGCCAGCAACGTCGCCATCTCCATGGCGTGCGTCGTTGGGGTCTACGGTGGGTGGATGGCGCTGAAACTAGCCCTGTAGCAGAACTCAACGACCGACATCTCTGTGGTGAAGTGGATACAGATATGAACTTCAAGTACAAGACTTGTCTTTGCTTCAACTGATGCGCATCACCATTCGTCACCTCTCGCGTCTTTCCGTAATCATCGCATCATGTCCCGGAATGACCCGAGTGGTCACGAATGGTCCACATATCACGTCTTTGAGGGGAAATCAACTCCGGAACTATTGAATATTGACACTGAGAAATTTAACAATATGTAACGTTATTTTGAGAATGTTCCAAAAATCCATTTTATATATGTGTAATTTTTTTTACGATCAATCAATGTTTCTTTGTTAATACCGTTTGAGCAAATCAGCTGGCAAAAAACGTTTTCTTTCTTGTATTTTACATCATATCTGTGTCCATTGTATTCCCCGATTGTTTTATTATCTTACCTATCGTATACACTTTCATAAGTAAACCAACGACGCCATTTTTATCTCGGGACGGTATTTCAATCAGGATCGTTCCTGCAGTAGCGGGATGCCATTGTGTACTCGTCCATCTGTTTACGCACTTCAGTCTATGGCTATGACTTGGTCTCTTTGATTGATCAGCTGACAACAAATCCACTGTATGTTTCTTCACAGGACTCAGTAGTTCTGATTATGATTAAAATATATTTTTTTACTATGAAATACCTCCCTTTTACACATAAACACAGAGTGCCACGACTGATTTGAAGCGATAGCATTGCACACCTTGTGTAAATATATAGAGACAGGGGGGTGCTTGATTGTGAAATACCATACGATTTTATTATAATCAGAACTTCCTGTGGTTTCTTTTTAATAAAGATGTTGTTTGCATCTCAAGACGTGGCTGTTGTGTATTATCAAGTCTAATATTTGTTTGTTCGCACTCATCAATATTCAAGCTATATGTCGGCGGTCTGTAAATAAAGTCTGATACGATGACATGCAATCAACCAAGTCATCGATGTTGACCTCTCGATCCATTTAAATCGCCTCTTACAAGCGCGAATGCTGAAGGAATATTCTAGCCCGGAATTCCCCAGGAATTTGTCATGAAACACCAGCATATTGTTGAAATGTTTTAGAGATGGTGAGGTGAGGGGTGGTGAGGGGAGGGGAGGTGAAATGGGGGATAACGTCGCGTGCAATATTATTACACTTATAGAGAGACATGCATGCACATGCGTGTGTGTCAGCTTGTACTTGGTCGGAATAATGCTGGTTTTATAGTGCTAGCCCACTGAGATACCGTGACGCAGTTTAATATGAATACCCAACTCAAAGCTGACTCAGAGCCGAACCGACCAGTCCTAGTTTTAGCCCTTCATGCCGAGCACCAGGCAGGGTAACATATTTAACAGTATTCCAGTTATATGCGGCGTGTCAGCTTAATGTGGGAGGAAAGCCTGAAGTGATGCAGGTCTCAGACGTTTACCACTTCGGTGAAACCCACGAGCACGGGTATGGTGCTGACAAACCTAGAAACATAATCGGGGCGAACCGGGATTCGAACCCACAATCACAGGTCTCTGGCGTGCCCAAGGGACGCAACTCTGCACAGCGAATCGCGGCGCCTCAGACGACTGGGCCACCCGTGCCCCCTACCAGATTATGAAAGTGACAGTCGGAATGTGATCATGCAATCTCGAAAACTTTAACATGGGGTATTTCGAACGATAGTTACGGGACTGAATCCTTACAATCTAGACCATCGATTCCAGAATGTTTTTTTGTTCAGGTTTCATATTTGTAATGCAGAAATTGTCAAAATATGTTTCGAAGCGTAGTCGCCAATTTGAAATTTGTGCCGTAAAGCACGAGAAAGCTGCCTTCTGATTGGTTATTCCATTGGTCGGTCAAAGTTCGCGCAAGGTCGGTCTGACGTGACCCGTAATGGGATGTCCTCAGATCTTTGTTTAGCGATAGCGAGAACTAAGATCTGATTTTAATGAGATTGCTACTCAGCGCTAATAAGCGGTGTTATTTGGCGTGCGAGTGGATTAATGAAAGAATGGACTACGGTAAGAATTCTCCTGTAAGCCTGACAGAGACATTTTCTGTAGATATTAATCCACTGATGCTTTAGAGGAGGGCGTGTCGCATATGCATGTGTGTGTCTTTAATTGTTTTCGAGACACCAGCATATCTCTTCAAACGTTTTAGAGACAACAGCACGCTTGCATTTGCTTCAGACAATATGGTGTCGCCCAGAGAAGGCGATATGATCGATAATCAAGATGTATATTGTAATAAAAAGGGTCTTACTTCGCGAAGTGCATCAAATCACGTGAGCACCTTGATTAAAAACATGAACAGATTTGGAAAATATCTGTTACGGACCGGATGTTGATTTCGTCTGGCGATTCTGTTGGGATTATGCATAGACTCGTTAGTCCAGGCAAACATGACTTCATAATTCCAGCCTAGTTCGGCAAGGGCGGAAACTGGACTTTAATAGTCAGTTTACAAGCTTGCCTCGAGTAGATGAAAAGTTGTAAAATATTTAAGTACTTAAAGAATACAAATACAATGCTTTAAAAAAGTCAGGTAGAGTGAATATGGGCCAATGTTTATTCACATAGCATGGAAATGTTGGATATACACACGACAATAGCAAGTGAAAAGTAATATTGCATGAACTGGAAGATCATCGACTATTAAGGCTGAGGATCTTCTAAAGTCAAATATCTCTTGACTTAGACGTGAAAGGAGGCAACTCTTCAAGAGACCCGTTCCACTAAACGATCTTAACACTATGCCTACTGTCAGTCCCATCCCACAACATACTTTTAGATCAGTGATACTCTTTGAGCTAAGATCGCTTTGTGCAACTAGGGCCTTGTCTTCATAAACTCCAACCTCCCAACATACGCATACAAAACTCAACTCCTGCCAGTGTCATCAGCAGGCGCTCGTACCTCGACACCATGTTAGTGAGGTAGAGTGACAATGTCGGCGCTGTAGAGGAGCTTGTATCCAGTCGTGCTCCTAACAACCGCTGGCGTACTAAGCTCCCTGCACTGTTCGAGACTACACTCTGCTTCGCGCTGCTGGAGACATTTGTACATCTGGTTTCAACCTTGGAGATACATGGGGCATCTGTGAGGTCATGATACGCAGATGATCTGCAGGGTCAAGGTCATATGGGAGGTAATGTGATACACAGGTCAGGTGTGTTCTTGAATCACAGGCGATACACCAGTTTTGGGGTCGAGATACACATTATGGTCATCGGGGTCATGTAAGGTCATGAGGTCAAGGTCAGAAAAGGTTGGTCTGGAGCATGATCCTGATAAACTCTTCTTTGTCTATGACGCCGTCTCCATTGACGTCGGCCTCCTCGATCATCTCCTGCAGCTCCTTCTGGGTGAACTTGATGCCCACGTCTCGACACGCCTGCCGCAGATTGTCCTGGGAGATAGCACCCGACCCATCTGTAACACAGAGTGGGGACACGTGAAATTAGGGAGCAACTATTTGATTTCAAAGGGGTGGGGGGTCGAAGGTCGGGATTCTTTAAACCCGTTTTACTGAAAATATTAATTACAGATGCCTCGCATTGTAGGCGAAAAAGGTTGTCTTGCAGACAAGTATTAAAAAATACATAGAGGTTATCACGCGAGTGTGTTTGGGGATGGTAAATATCCTGCATTAGGAATAAACATTGTATTTAGCGAGCCTTGGCGAGCTAAATACATAGTGTTTATTCCTAATACAGGATATTTACCATCCCCAAACACACAAGCGTGATAACCTCTTTATCATATAATGTCATTCTTTAATTCTGTGCTTGAAAATCGCTTTCCCTCTCTCACAAACATAAATGAAACATTGTGAGTTTTCCTGCAATGCGCGCATTAATATCTATTACGTCAGAGGGTAAGTGACGTGTCAGTCGGACAGTGACAGTAGCCAATATAATTCCAACTGAAATCTGTTTCTTATACAGTGGCGAAGCAACATAAACGCAAAACAACAATTGTTTTTAATGGCCTTTTGCGGCAATCCATCGGTCTGTTGGCTGGAGTAACTGCCCTTTGTCAAAGGGAAGCTACTCTAACCCTGTCTCTGAGACGTCACGGCCACGGTCAGACCTTGTTGACAGTCGGTCCGTCCTGTCATAACGTTACGAAGTGTAGTCAGATGTACACACAGCGACAAAACGCAACAAGGTAATAATTCACATACATTTCGGCCAAATCCAACTATTTTAATTTGTGGAGAAGGTTTCAAGCCGCAGAGGTCTACAAGCACAGATATGGCTAATAATCCCGCTTGGCTAGGCCTCGTGCCCTCGCAAAATTGTTTCGAAATTTATATCTCCAAAGTTGCCAAAACTTATAAAATGCCTTATCTACGTCACAGTTAGACATTGATTTTCAGTATATAAGACTGTCCTTAATAATGATAGCAATTATCCCTGTAGTTTATCTAGATTGCTGATGGTTAATTCTGACTCGATCCCCGAATGACGAGGGCGACGCCATGTTTGTTTATAAACAGTGAAAGTAGTCCCTACTTGACCTTTGATATTTGCATCTCTATCCGCATATGACCCCAACGGATATCGTTTTTATCCGTTGGCTTTATCCTGCCGAGAAACCTACCCATTATATGATAAAGTTTATTATTTTTTTTTTTTTTTTTTTTTTTTTTTTTTTTTTTTTATTGTTTTTAGAAAGACACACCTGTTACATAAATGGGCTTCCGCCCAGGGTAGCAGAAAGCCCATGACATAAAGCACAACTTATCAGTACATCTTACTTTGTTGTTTTTTTTATACAGAAAATAACATACTTCTCACTCACACATTCACTCTTGTTTATATATCATATTGCAGTTTAGGAAAGTACATGGTCTCAAACATTAAAATCTTAAGTACAAAACTAAAATTAAATTGAAAGCTGCTCCTCATTTTCGAAAAGTTGATGATACAGCATCCAAGCACCATAGAATTTATGTTGATTACCTGTCTTGAAAGCAATATCTTTTTCAATGTTGTATCGTGAAAAAGCTTCCTTTTTATAAACATGAAAATAAGGTTTTGTATTTTGGAATTTGCATCTATAAATATAGTATTTTGCAATTAGTAAAAGTAAATCAAACACTTTATCTGTTTTTATGTTCTCTTTAACTCCAAAAAGTATCAATTCTGCACAAAATGTCATATTATAAACATGAAAGCACTGGTCGATCCACAATGACACTTCATCCCAAAATTGTTTTATTACATCACATTCCCAAAACAAGTGAGTAATTGTTTCCTTTTCATTGTGACAGAAGGAGCACAAATCATTCTGAGCATAATTGAGTAAATACAGAAAAGTATTAGTGGTGAGAATTCTGTGGGTAATTTTGTATTGAAACCATCGCAGTTTGACATCCTGTGTTGTACTGAAAATTTTATTATAAATATTGTTCCAATTTAAGTTTTCAAATTGTAATTCCCACTTTTCCTGCCCTTTAGTTTTTACTTCTGTAGAAACCAATGAAAAATAAATATGTTTTGAACCGGACTTGGAACTACAAATAGTTTTTACCACACAGCGCTGATCCTCCACAGAATCTGTTGGAACTCTAACTAAATTTAGAGCTCCAAGGTATTGTTTAACGCTGCTAACAACACCATAAAACTCCAAATAGGATGAACAAATACCATACATATCATTAAATTCCTCATATGACAGAAACTCCTTATTGGCCTTGACCAAGTCTATAATTTGGGAGATGCCCTTCTCAAACCAGCATTTCAAGAAAAATGATTTCCTGTTAATTTTAATATTAGGGTTATAAAAAATTGGTTCAGTTAAAAAACTACTGAAAGATTCTGGCTTGATTTTCTTATCAAGCACTATAAATGACTGAAAACAACTTTTCCAAAACTCATTACTTATCAAAGATAATTTTCTTTCAAAAAACGTCACACCAAACTCACCAAGTTTACACAAATAAGGATATGTAGATTTAAATAGGTGCTTCCATTTTGGATCACCTGAGGACACAAGTCTCCTTATCCATGTGGCCTTAAGAGATGTTACATATGAAAAGATATTCACCATACCTAAGCCCCCTTGCTTAACAGGTTGACAAACTTTAATCCTCTTTACTTTGTCTCGTTTATCACTCCAAAGAAATTTAAAAAGCATAGCATTTAAAGTAACAAGAAAATCATTTGGGGGATCAGGCAGTGATAACAATAGATAATTGAGTTTTGAAATCAACAAGGATTTAATGATTGCCACCCTACCAATTGGTGTAACTATCCGTTTCATCCACCTATTCATAATCTGTTTTAACTCAAATAATTTGTCTTTAAAGTTCAACTGAACCATTTTTTTCAGATTTGTGCAAAATTTGACTCCTAGAATTCTAAACTCTTCTGGATTCCAACCAACAGGCAAATCATCTTTGAACTTTTCCTTACAACCTCTCTTCGAGCCAAGCCAGATAACTTGAGTTTTATTATAGTTAATCTTAAGACCAGATATTTTGGCAAAACAATCAAGAGAGTTAATACATGATACAAAGGAGGACTGACTACCATCAAGTAATATTTCCATATCATCAGCATACTGACTAAGAAGATACTCACTACCGTCCACCAGGATACCTTTGACATCTCTATTAGAGCGGATCATATTGGCTAGTATTTCTGCACAGAGAATAAATATATACGGTGACAATGGGTCACCCTGTCGGCAACCGCGTCTGATATTAAACCAAGATGACAACTGACCATTGATGGACATACAGCTTTTTATATCATTGTAAAATACCGATATATATTTCCTTAAATTTTCACCAAATCCCCAAAAGGATAAAGATTTATCTATAAATGACCAAGCAATGGAATCAAATGCCTTCTCAAAGTCTATAAGAAGAAGCATACCAGGAATGTTTGATTTTTCTGTACATGAGATGGCATCATAGATTAAGCGAATATTGTCACCAATGTAGCGACCTGTCATAAAGCCAGTCTGATCTTCATTAATGATAAATGGCAATCTTGACTTGATTCTATTTGCTATGCATGAAGATGCCAGCTTATATGAAACATTCAATAGTGATATGGGCCTCCAGTTAGTTATGAAGCGTTTAGGCTTGTCCCCCTTTGGAATACAGACAATAACCCCTTGTTTCTGGGTAACAGAGAGTTCACCAGATATTAAACCACAATTCAATGATCGCAATAAAAATTGTCCAATATCTTTCCAGAAGAATTTATAAAATTCAGTGGGAAAGCCATCTGAGCCTGGGCTTTTGTTATTTTGCATATTTTTCAAAGCTTTTGCCAGCTCATCAAGAGTTAATAGATCTTCCATCTCGTCCACATCACTTTTATTTAAAAAGGGGACAGAATCTCTGTCCAACAGGGTATTCAAATCACAATCTTGCACCATGTGTTCTTTGCTACTGTATAAAGTCTCATAGAAATTGGCAGCTTCAGCAATAATGTCACTTGAATTTAGCAATGTGGTGCCATTGTTTAACTCTAAATGAGTCATAGACTTGCTGACAAAATTCCTGTTCTCAAGGTTACAGAAATAGCTGCTGACTCTTTCACCATCCATAATCCACTTAGTTCTAGATCTTATGGCAATTCCAGCCATCTTGTGTTTCCTAATTTCCTCCAATTCTTTTCTTTTATCTTCCAAGTCATCAAAATTAATAACACTAGAAGTTTCAAGAATTTCGATCTGTTGAATCAGGTTTTGTTCTTTTTCAATATTTTTTTTTTTCTTGAAGGAAGAATAAGAAACTGTTTTTCCTCTGATTTCCAGAAGCAGGACTTCAAAGAATAATTGATCATTTATATTAAACTGAATTTCATGATTAGGTATATCATTAATATTTCGAGCATCACCATACATTTTAATATACTGCGATTTAACCTTTAAAATAGTTTCTTTTACTAGATCTATGTAATACTTATCTTTCAACAAAGAAGTATTAAATTTCCAGTATGTATTACGCTTTGGACAAGTTTGAAATGAAATACTCAGATCAATGATTGAATGATCAGTTCTATAACCTGCAGTGATTTTTGCCTGTGTGGCAAAAGAATAGAGTCTTTCTGAGATGAGGAAGAAATCTAATCTTGCTTGTTTTAAGGGTGACTTTTTACGCCAAGTAAACCTTTTGATTTCTGGATTGAAATCTCTCCACACATCTACCAAATCAAAATCACCAATTAATTTTAATATTTTTTCACGAGCACGAGGATTATTGATATTCTGGTAATTATGAACATCTAGTGACTCATTCAAAACAAGATTCCAATCTGCAGCTAAAATATAATCCTCATTTCCCATGACACGAGCTTGCTCTTTAACCTGCTCATAGAATTCTGGTGAGTCTAAATTGGGACCATAAATATTCACAAGTGTTACCCGTTGATCACTAATAGTTATATCTAATATAAGTAAGTTACCATTGTCATCCATGTAAGTCCTATGAATCTTATAGTCCACATTTTTGTTAAACAAAATCGCAACACCCCTGGACTGGCTGTTTTTGGAATTGAAGATGCAATCAAATCCCCACTGTGATCTTATAATTGGTTCTTGTTCTTTTGTAAAATGTGTATCCTGTAGTAGATAAAATGAGTATGCTTTAGATCGTAAAAAGTTAAAAACATCTTTTCTCTTGGCATTATCTTGCAGTCCTCTACAGTTCATAGAGCAGCAGGTAAAACCTAAGTTAGCCATTGTCAATAAAAGATTTGTTCACATACACAGAGGCCATATGAAAGATTGAATTTACACACTTTCTACACATACATACACTTTCACAACTATCTGAAGAAAAAGCTTTAAAACCATAAATGACTGAAATCAAACTCACACTTGCTTCTACAAACTTCAAGTAAAGCATCGTATGATACAAACTGGCACCATGTGGCTACCACCAGAAAAAAGGGGTAAAATCTTCACCCAAAAGTATCAGTGGCATATAACAGAAAAGACCAGGAACAAAAATAGCTGTCATAATGATAAGTAAGAAGCACACAAGTGTCAAACCATTACACAACTAAATACTGTCCACTGTGAAGCTAACATCCCAAATTCACAGTTACTAGTGATTTGGTTGAATATTTCCTCATGCAATATTCAATTGACCCATTACACTATAAACTAAATTAGGCTGTGGCATACAGCGAGTATAGGCACTAACATAGTAATATAGAGAAAAGTAGAAAATAACCAAACCAACACACTGTCCGATATGTAATTTACGAGTTTTACACACTTACAAGTTCTCTATTGATCAAAAGTTTAACTGATGAACTAATGATGCAATGCATATAAGACTTATATCTGATATTATGCAAATAAGTCTTATCATTATTATCTCATACAGTAATTCTACAGTATACTAGTTTGTTTTTTAATTGATATCTCCAGTTTTTTGTTGGTTTTTTTCGTTGTTGTTTTTTTTTTTTTTTCATAACGAAACAACGTGACAATGGATCTTCACATGTCCAAGAGCGAGATCAACAAACCCGAACATGATGATGTGCACTAAAATAAAGTTAACACTACATTTGTGATTTATAACAAACAAAATAAAAATTGACCGAGAGAATGGGTCACTCATCATCAGTAATTCTACAGTGTATTCGTTATTTTAAGCTCACCTCCCAAAAAGCGGCTATCTTATTTTATTTTTCACACCTTATCCATGAAAGAAATATAAGAATATCGTCCTCTCCATGAGTCCTGTGGGCCGCCATTTTGAATGGTCACGTGACAGACGTACACACCTTGGTCATGTGATATGCGAAATACCAATGTAAAAAGTTCAAGAAGCGTCTCCGGTAACACTGTGAAACAACATGACAGTGGATCTTCACATGTCCGAGAGCGAGATCAAGAAACCCTAACATGTTGATCTGCACTCAAATAAAGTTTACACTAGATTTGTTTTTAAAAGAAACAAATAAAACATTGATCGAGAAAATGGGTCACTCATCATCACATACATTGACTTTAGCCAGGTTAGATTCTTGGTTCCTCGTCCTCTTTGAGAGTTTTCCATGCGTCCCTGGCATCCTTTCTGTAATACAGGGTAACAACGATCCCCTTTTCGCGAACCTTTGCATGTAGTTGTTGTTTACGTAATTCAGCGGCTTTTCGTACCAGGCGGCCACGAAGTTTTTTTAAGTCGACAGGCAGGTCTGTACGAACACTGAGCCGGTCTTTCGCCAATTCCCTCCCCACGGAATAGGTAGTCTTCAAAATGAGATCTCTGTCCTCCATGCGGACGAATTTAATGATGATAGGATTAGGTTCTTCGTTCGGTGTGAATCGAGGGAGTCTGTGAATATTCACAAACAACATGTTGTCCACCGCATGTGAATCCAGGTGTAATTTATCCTTGAAAATGTTTCTACAGGCCTTGTCAACATCTGTGACTGTATTAGGTACACCGTAGATAAGTAAGTTGGATTTACGGGAATACATCTCTGAGATCAGTAGCTTTTCTCTTAGCTTGTCGATTTCGTCGCGGAGGCGTTGTTCTGACGACGCCATTTTGTCACCAAGGTCGTCGATAGATTTCGACATAAATTCCACCGACGACTCCACTGAAGATACCCGTTTGAACAAGTCAGCCACTTCTTCTTTAACAGAGTCGATCTTGGAACATATCTGACTGGTCTGTTTGTCCAATTCCTCGCGAAGGAACGTTTTCAAGTCGCTGGGTGCAACGTCAGCAGGCGGGGAGGACGAAGGTGAATGTAAGGGCAGAATAACGTCAGAGCTTTCCTCCTCATCTGTCTGCTCCGGGCGTAAATACGAGCTGATTTTATGTGTAGCAGTACTGCTGGTGGTAGATTTGTTGTTCTGTTTGTTTGTATTTCGTCTCCCCGCCATGCTTGTGTAAAGATTGAAGTGGATTACCACGAGAGCGCCAGTCGCACGTCTTTACGATTCGAGCGCCATACCGGAAGTCTTATTATTTTTATTTATTTTAAAAAGGCATTTCTTAAAAATGCTGATCCCAGCCCCACATCCCCATCCCAAACTATTGTATGCTTTACAAATGTGAATGGTATCCTAACTATTTTTTTATGTAAACATGAACTAGCAACTGTGCGATGAATGTATGCAAAATGTATTTTACTAACAAAACACGCCTTAAATCAAATCATTTCATTTATCACGGTTGTTGCAACATATATCAAATACCAAAATACCACCCTAAGGCATAATGTATGATATTACGTGCGCATCACCGATCAACTTCCCTGGGCAAATCTGTATTTGAAACCTCACGTCAACGTCGGGCAGTTTTCTCTTACGCAAATAATACAACACAGATTACGTGAAAACAGATGTATGGAAAGCCCGTGTCGGGAGATATGACATCGCTGTACAATCCATACAAACGAGGCATAACCGTATATATCGACTACTCGCCTGTGTCGAACATGTTGAAGCCCTTCAGTATTTCCTCATACACATCTCGGTTGTCTCCCTGCCGGTCTATCACTGTCTCCAGGAACTCGTTGAAGTCAATCTTCCTGGATACCCAGCACACATTGTCAATACAAGATACAATATTGTATACATGACACGCAAAGCAGCTGGGGTGACCATATCTCCGTGCTGCTCCCTATAAACCATTTTGATATTGACTTGTTGCTACCAGCGAGCGGGAGGGGGCGGGCGGGCGGTCGGGTAGCCTAGTGGTTAAAGCGTTCGCTCGTCACGCCGAAGACCCGGGTTCGATTCCCGACATGGGATATTGCTGGAATATTGCGGCGTAAAACCATACTCACTCACACTCGGTACCAGAGACAGTCAGAGCCGTTTATAGGGAGCAGCACACAGATCCGGTTACCTCAGTAATGGCGATGAACAAGCACTGTATTCCAACATTTCCACAAGTTTAAATAATCCAAAACTATTAAACTATTTGTCTTCCAAGAACTATTCTATCCATACTACTACTGGCGTCCATAGATGGCCTGTACAATCAGCACTAATGGACGAGCCTACCCAACCTGCCCCTCGGAAGGACTTAGAATTTAGCAATTACTATGACACATCATTCGTGACCAACTCGTGTCATTCCGGGACAAGCCGAATAGCGACCGGGTTCCGTCTTAGCGCAAACGGGTTTACCTAAAAGAATTGTCAACTCGTTGCGTCATGGTTCACATATATTTCCCCATATATTATATATATATTTCAGTTGCAATTTAAAGCACATCGGGACGTGCGGATTTATACAGTTTGATTAAGCACATTTAAATGTGCCTTGGGTATATTTTTAAATGCAAGACATGTAAAATTGACGAAGAACTTGAAATCATACGCGCGCATTCTGATTGGTTTGTAGTATTTTCGCACATGACATTCATCGATATGGAGGGAGGGGGGGGGGGGGAGACGAGTCCTCTTGCAGGTTACGAAAAGGGGCGAGTGGTGACGAATGTTTGACACATGTGACAAAACTCACGCTCTTCCTTTCAGACTGACGTCCATGATCATTCTCCTCGCCTCATCTCGCGAGATTTTGAATCCAAGGACACGCATAGCCTTCTTCAGTTCTAGAGGGCCGATAAACCTGTACAGACAAAACCACGTCATCATATGGTAGTGCGTATTCCTCACCAATTGATATATGGCAAGAATATACACTATTATGTTACCCACACTGACATAGTTGATTAAACCCCCTGTGGTAGCATTATATCTCAGAAACACTATCATAAATGTTCATGAATACGGGCTGATCGCCTCATTGGTTTGTTTGTTTGTTGGTTAACGCCGCACGCAGCAATATTCCAGCTATATGACGGCGGTCTGTAAAATAATCGAGTCTGGACCAGACAATCGCGTGATTGACATCATGAGCATCGATCCACGCAATTGTAATTGATGACATGCATCAACCAAGTCAGCGAGCCTGACCACCCGATCCCATTAGTCGCCTTTTACGACAAGCATAGTCGCTGTTTACGGCAAGTATGGGTTGCTGAAGACCTGTTCTACCCCGGAATCTTCACGGGTCTCGCCTCATTGGTCAGTGTTTCAGTTATATCACACGCTCATCTTCATGTGGGCAAAGGTTCCTAATAGGCGTGGTGAGATGGGGTTAAGATCGCATTTGATATTAGTGCACTTATACGGCGACATGAGTTGCGGATCATGGGTTCGAATCCCAGATTTGTCCTGATTATGTTTCTAGGTTTGTCAGCACCATACCCGATCCGTGCTCGTGGGTTTCACCAAAGCGGTAAACGTCTGAAACCTGCATCACTTCGGTCTTTCGTCGGGCTTTTTAACAAGCTGACAACGTGATATAACTTGAATACTCTTCAAACCAAACTCGCTCATATGGAATCAGGATGTGAATTGGGCCTTACCCGGTGCTGCTGGCGTCGAATATTTCAAAGACGACTCTGAGGTCCCTGACCTCCTGTGATGTCAGCTGTTCGAGGACTCGACTCGACACCTTGATCCCATGAATCTCCTTTTCGTCCACCGGATGTGACGTCAGCAGCTTGATCAGCTGAAAAGTGGTATGTTGTCAGTAATACAATCATATTCATCCTGTACGATGTGTTATAAATACAATTCAAAAGAAGTTAAGGACCATCCGATTCCTTCATATTACTATAGTTAAATCGGGTGGTCCTGAACTTATTTTAAGTGGTATATTACACAGTGCTGTACAGAATTTAGTTCCAAACTAAATGGTATACATGTAATGTGTGCTGATCTAATTGATTGGGTTGTGTGCCGATTCGGATGGTCCTTAGTTTGTTTGAGTAGTATTTCGGTTGGTATGTTTATCATCCTCATGATCCGCTTCCCAAAGAACGGACGGTCAGAAGAAAGTTTTAAACAATAGAAAAAGAATATAATGAATTTCGTTGAGTACACGACTGACAAGGTGTTCGTTGTTTTAGACTTGTGCAAAAAAGGGTTCACGGTGTGTTTGGTAGATTGCCACATTAGAGGTGTAATTGTTCCTTAAAAGACGAGAAAAGACCTTGGGCTTTTTGTACCGAAAATACGACAGCCAGAGTTACTTCCCTTCGTTGCATATCCTAATCAATACCAGCAGGGCGGATTTTTTTTAAGAAACATGAAATTCCAACAAATATTGCAGGATGGGATGAAACACAGTGTCGGACCCAGAGGGGTGTGTGTGTGTGTGTGGAGGGGGGACCACGCCCCTTTCTTACATCTGATGACATTTTGTATGCGTATTTTCTTCCATGATAACATGTTGTTTTGGTTGTTTCGTAACATAATGAATAAATGGCCGAAGTGGAACCCCACACACATTAACTTTTTTTTAAATCCTGGATCCGACCCTGAACATATTTAAGTGGCCGATTGGATGGATACAAAAACATATTTCAAATTTTAACGGGGACGGTAATTTAATTGGGACCGGCGGGCGATGACAAACGCAATACAATAAAGATTGGCAGTTAAAAATTCACGGTATTCATCTCATATATTGTCGTAGGCTGTGTTAGTTTAATATTTCAGCAACATTTTCACTAAGAAACCGACACGCGCGCTTCACTTGATGTGAACTCTATTGATTTGTCTATTCTATTAATAAGCGTCTCCCCACTCACCTTCTCGCCTGGTTTCGGGGGCGGGGGTACATAGTCCGGCTTGAGGGGGTCCACGGGGCCCGCCGGCGTCTCCACCTTCTTCCCTCCTTTCTTCCCCTTTTTCTTTCCTTTCTTCTTCACGGGCATTATGTGTATTATCCGTCTCTTTCCACGGGGCCGAGCGTCACTTTGAATGGCCTATGTTGTCAGCCTGGGTCCGCCATTTTGAAACAACCCTTGTCGCCTAGCAACGGGGTATGCGCGCGTTCGGGTCAGCTCGCACAATAGGATTATTTCCAGTTCACCGGTCACTATTTCCGCCTTATTAGCAATATGTTAGTATGCCTGTATCTCTAACATTTGCATAGTTAAAACAGTATAATGAATACAGCAGTGTGTGTGTGTGTGTGTGTGTGACATAATGACATGATTACTCGAGTTTGTTTGTTTGTTTGTTTGTTTTTGTTTATGTTTTAAGCAGCACTCAGCAACATTCTAGCTATATGACGGCCGTCATTAAATAATCGAGTCTGGACCAGATAATCCAGTGAGTGACATCATGTACGAGCATCGATCTACGCACCTGGGATACGATAAAATGCATCAACCAAGTCAGCGAGCCTGACCACCCTATCTCGTTAGTCGCCTCTTACGGCAAGCATGAGTTGCTGAAGATCACTTCTAATCCGTGTCTTCGGTCGTCTAAGGCACTGTGCATTGCAGTTTTGCGTCCCTGGGCACGCCAGAAATATATGATTGTTCGAATCCCGGTTCTCTCCGATTATGTTTTTTAGGTTTGTCAGCACCATATCCGTGCTCGTGGGTTTCACCAAAGTGGTAAACGTCTGAAACCGGCATCACTTTGGGCTTTCCTCCCGCATTAAGCTGACACGCCATGATATAACAGGAAATCTGTTCAAAGCGGCGTTAAACTCAACTCACTCACGCAAGCTGTAGTGACGTGTCTGGACCCACGCTCTTAATAATACAAAATATAGTCAGTGTCATGTTCTCGCGGTCAGTATTACATACATCTTTCTTTGTTTGTTTGTTGTTTAACGCCGCACTCAGCAGTATTCCATGCCAGCTATATGACGGCGGTCTGTAAAATAATCGAGTCTGGACCAGACAATCGCGTGATTGACATCATGAGCATCGATCCACGCGATTGGGATCGATGACATGTATCAACCAAGTCAGCGAGCCTGACCACCCGATCCCGTTAGTCGCCTTTTACGACAAGCATAGTCGCCTTTTACGGCAAGTATGGGTTGCTGAAGACTTATTCTACCCCGGAATCTTCACGGGTCTACACATCTACACGTGATCTCGTTGCTTTTGTTTATCATTCAAAGGATTAAGGTGTTATATGTACATATTACTCTCCCATAGATGTCAAACTGTAAAAGCGGTTTTAATTGTTTTCTTCACACGCATGTTCATATTGTAATCATGAAACAGCTAAGTTTGTCCCCCTTCCATCCCCGGTAATCTGTCCTGCTCTATAGGTGTCGCTCAGCTAGCTTCCCTTTGAATAGAACGGATAAGATAACACTTTATTATCCCGAAGGAAATCAGGGTTACATCAGCAGCCGGGATGACAGGTCCCCTTAAAACTTCGCTTACATAATTCCAACTACAGGTAGATAAGATTAAAAAAAACATATATTTATCATTTTGGGGACCAGGTCAAAACATCCTCATGTCAGAAAGGTTAAGTCAAAACGGTCAGAATCAATAGTCAAAACGGCCACAAAAAGTCATAATGGCCTCTGTTCTAACATAGATGTAGATAGCATTGCCATACTCTACAACAATTTGGTTTCATCCCAAGATGCTGACGAAGGCTTGGCTCCGTCTCTTATTAACCTAAATAGACGACGCGCAGTGAGAGCCGGGAACCACCCAACTTGCATTCCTAGGGTCACGTGGTCTTTGCAAGGGGATTCCCCAGTTTCGTCAGTATTACTCACTGCGCATGTGACATATTGTCAGCATTTGAGCCGACTTCAACCATAACACGTAAACACGGACACGCCACAACCGCTGGTGAGTTGAACAGTTCGTTACTGGTCTTATTTTAATATAATAAACGTGGACGTCGATTAAAGCCGACAGTAAATCCCACTACGAACAGATATAAACGACAGGAGTAACGCACAAGCCGCTGTCAGTTCGCCCTTCCGCCGTGTTGATGTTTACTTTCATTTCCGATTGCAGCCATCTTAGTCGAGTCTGTGCGGAAGTGTTCTTGTTTGTGGCCCTAACGTTTGTTCACGAGAAAGTAGCAATCATTGTATAAACTTGGTTTTAATGCAAACGAAAAATTATTGTTTAAAGAGTTTTGTTCGGGGCATGTCATGACGTATTACAAGTTGTGATAACGCTCAGACACTCTGCATGCCGTAATGCTCTATTTATACATGCAGTAGATTTTGTAATATATCCTCGTAGGTCATTTACGTTGTAGTGTCAGATACTTGGCCTATGACTGGTCGAGATTCTAGATTTATTCATTCTGATGCAATCTGTGTGACCATTGTCATGAACGTGTCTCAGTTAATATATCAGTTGGCAGTACAGTCGCCATGAACAGTTCATTAAAGTTATAATTCACTTGAATCACTTTCATTTTCCGTTCCCAGAAAGGACCTGACAACTGTTGAAAAGAATTAAGACGGGCCCATTAAGACTTACACAATGTCTGGTAAGCAATCACTAGCATTTTTTTGTATTGCTCTGTTTGTTTGTTGGTTGACACCACATTCAACAATATTCCAGAATGATGGTGGTCTGTTAAAATCAAGTCTGGACCAGGCAGTCCAGAATTATATAAAAACAATATATAATATATAATGCTGAAATGGGGGCCACGGGTGGCCCAGTCGTCTAAGGCGCCAAAATTCGCTGTGCAGAGTTGCGTCTCTTGGGCATGCCAGAAACCTATATGGTTGTGGGTTCGAATCCCGGTTCGCCCCCATTATGTTTCTAGGTTTGTCAGGTTTGAATTAACATATTTTATGAAGATAATATATGACAAAAGGATAGCCATTAGAGTGGTTGAAAAAACATATTTAATCTCTGTACAAGAAATACCATAAGCTATTTTTCATTTGAAGACAATTGTATCTGTTTAAAGATGTGGCAAGTTGTTGCATATATAATAGATTGTATAAACAAATATTAATCACCCAACATGTATCTGTAATCAGTGAGAGTGAACTTTCCTTCTACAGTCATTTGTAATTTATAATATAAGGAGCAGGTTTTTCTGGAAATGAGTGGTGGGGTACCTTCATGGTTAAAGCATTCGCTCCCACTAACCTGATCAACCAAACAACTTCTTGGCAAATGTGGTCAGCCTTTGTATTGAAATGTTCTCTGACACATGGCCCTGTGTCCACATGTTCACCACGTACTCTTCCACGCTGTCCATCTCCTCCCACTGCTGGATCAAGGGGGTTTAATCGATGTGGTTCACATTATTTAGTTTTTAACATTCAGTATGTGAGTGAGGTATGTGTGTTCACATTTTGAATTCTAACCTTTACATCCGGAATATTAACTTTGGGGGTCACTTGACAGTACATAAGCTGAAGAAGGTATTATGTGTTTTATCACTGTAGCATGTGCAATGCTGAGTTCTCACATGCGCTCTCTGAAAAGTTTAAACAGTGGGAGGTGTTCCAATGTTGAATTGAATTGTGAAATTCAGTAGGGGTGTCTTAAGTCTGAACTTACACCTTCAGTGGTGGTGGTTTGGTGGGGTTCAAATCTTAAATTGTTAATTTCAGTGTGTATTAGTTTTGCCAACCTCCGTGCAGTCGGGCGGGCGGGCGGGCAGGCGGGCGGGTTAATGTGGAGAGGTATTGTCACATTTTGCATTTTCACTCACCATAAACTTTCTACAAACATAAAAGCTTTAATCCATCAAGTCCTGTCTCTCCTTCCAGAGTGGACGTGTGGGCGGTGTACATTCATCAACCATGAGCTGATGGCAAACTGCGAATTGTGCGAAGCCCCGAAGGAGGCCGCCGAGCTCCGTCACCTTGACAACACGCAGCAAGGAGAAGACATGCATGTCGACAGAACGGAAAGACCCCCTGACTCAGCTGCTATACCAGAAGACCCAGGACAACCGCCAGCCGAAGGCACAGCCATATTTGATAGACCCACAGAAGGTGGTTCTACCAATGGAGGCCTTTCTACCAGTACTGGAATGGCAGGTATCCCTCCAGACCAGACGCAGCAGACAGACAGACAGCTGATGGACTCCATGGGATCTTATGAGTCCGGATTCAGTACCCCGGCTGATCAGCTGATCAATGGAAGCCAGGAAGGGACAGGTGCACCGGTTCCAGGACTCCCAGAACCACTGGCGCCCATGGTGGTGCATAGTACAAATGGACGGAGCGAGTCCCCCATGTCAGAACCAGAAGAGATTGAAGCTGCTATGTGTCTCCCATCACCAGAAACTGGTAAATATTGTAGCAGTGGAGTTGAGTGATGGGAATTGGTTGTGACTGAATCATTGGTTGTGACTGAATCATTGGTTGTGACTGAATCATTGGTTGTGACTGAATCATTGGTTATGATTGAATCTTTGATTATGATTGAATCATTGATCATTGGTTTTAATCACTTCATTCTTACTGATGAGGTGAGGTGAGGTGAAATAGGTTACTGTTGCGTCCAAGATTATTGCACTTACAGAGTGACGTGCATACACTGTGTGTTTGTTTGTACTAGTCCAGACTAATGCCAATTTTATAGTGCTAGCCCACTGAGATACCATGCTGCAGTTTAACATAAATACCCCACTCAGACACAGTATACTGACTAAAAGCCAACCAGAGTGCCAGGCAGGGAAACAACAAGTACCATCTTTTAACGTCTTTTGGTATGATAGAACCCCGGAACTTCCGCTCTCCGGGCAGACACTCTACCACTACACCACAGAGGTGGTCCAAACACAGCTGGGGATTTCACTGACAAAAAAATTTTGATAACTAATTTTATGGCTTTCCAACAAATAGAATCAGGTTTTAATACTTAGTTTTATATTATTGTCTTGAACGCAATCTCAAAATATATGTTAAAATGCCTCTGAATTTAAGAAAAGAAGAACTTTTATTAAGAAAATCCCAATTTTGAACAAAATGTTCTTTTTTCCCAAATTTGCCTGCCAGGGGCCCTTAGTTTAAAATCCTGGAAATATTCCTGCATTTTGCTCTTGAGAAAAGTGCCTGATATGCTGCCTATTAGAATGATTAAGTGTGTTAAATTTTACTTTGATTCTCATTGTTTGATCTAAATAGTAAACAACATGATGGAGAAAATATTGCCTTTCAATCAGTCAAGAATTCTAATGTTTAAAGGATTGATATGGTATCACAATAAGTCAGTAAGTCAACCTCGGGACTTAGATATTCTTTCAATCTCATAAAAATCAGATGTTTTATTCTGTTTGGGTACCTCTCTCAACAGGACATCATTTGAACTTTGTGATCAATGTAGAGGCTTTTGTGTTCTCAGGGGGGGTGGGGTAGCCATGTGGTTATAGTATTTGCTCGTCACACCTAAGACCGGGGTTCGATTCCCAACATTGGTACAATATGTGAAGTCCATTTCTGGTGTCCCCTACCGTAATACTGTAAATCTTGAAATTAGCGCAAACTTGAATTTAATGCGAAAAATGCGAGTGGTCTCTGCTCGCATTAATTAACTACGCATTTATGTCTCCAAAATTACTATCAACAATAAGACGGCCTCACTGCACACTTTGGATAGTGGAAATACCAAATTGAATATAAACACAAACACATTTTATTGAGCATCAACTGTAACAAGTATATAACAATGTCATTCAAAGGTGACTGGGTTAGGGTAAGGATATGTATAATTCCAATGAGATGGGGGTGGGGGGAGTCATATGGATGATGAGTAGCATTTTTGGCTAGGGGTCAGCAGTTGTATTAATTTGGAGACGCATTAATTTCAAGATTTACAGTATTGTTGGAATATTGCTAAAAGCAGCATAAAACCATACTCACTCACTCACTCACTCACTCACTCACTCACTCACTCACTCACTCACTCACTCTGTACAAGTAAGTGAAGTATTCAGGCAGCATAACAATTGGTATATCTCGAAACTGAATGTAAACAGGCAGTTTGGAATGAAGAATACTAATGACCGTTCCATGTTATGGACATTTCACTCCCTGTTGTTCCTGAGTGACATGACAACTACACCCACAAGTGTGTACGACTGAGGGACCCCGTAGGGATCCTGGTTAGAATAGGTCCCCAACAACCTATGCTTGTCGAAAGAGGCAACTTGCGGGTTGAGTGGTCAGTTTTTGTGTCTGGGTTGAAAAAGGGTGATCGTACTCCAATGGCGTGGATCATTGCTCACAATATCAATCATTGGATTGTCAGGTGCAGATTTTATTATTTACAGGCCACTGTTATTTAGCTGGAATATATACAGCTAAGCAATATTGCAGCTATGTGATGGTGGTCTGTACATAATGGAATCTGGACCAAATAATTTTGTGAGTTATGATCCTTGCTGTCGGGGTACGAAGACATGCAATCAAAAAGTCACAGAGCCTGACCACCCAATCCATTAAGTCGCTTCTTATGACCAGCCTAAGTTACTGGGGATCTATTTAAACCCAGGATCCCTAAGGAGTATGACTTTAATGATATTGGAACCCCTGAAATATACTATAGTGCACAATTTACTTTTTGTCTAACACAGACTTCTCTCCATGTCTTGCAGCTGAAAAAAACCAGTGGTCCTTCCTTGACAACGAGGTGAGGATGGTGTTGTTGGGGAAGACGGGAGTGGGCAAGAGCACCACCGGCAACAACATCCTGTCAAGTAAGACATTCAAGTCCAGCGCCAGCGGCGCCTCCATTACCAGAAAGTGTCAGCTGGGCTGGGGTAGCCGCTTCGGTCGGGAGTTGCAGATCATAGACACCCCGGGACTGTTCGATACCGGCATGACCAACGAGGCCATCACGCAAGAGGTGGTCAAGTGTATTGGGATGACCTCGCCCGGACCTCACGCCTTCGTCCTGGTCATCCGACTGGACAGATTCACCCAAGAGGAGAATGATACAGTAAACCACTTCCTGAACATCTTCGGGAAGGAGATGCTGAGTTATTTGATTGTGTTGTTCACAAGGATGGACGACCTGAAGCACGATGGTGTCAGCTTGGACGAGTATGTTCGCGATGTACCAGAGAATCTGAAGAAGCTGTTGGAGAATTGCCAGCACAGATACCTGGGCATAGACAACAGGGGCACAGACCAGGAAAAGGAAAAGGTACATTACAATATTGACAGCAGCAACACTATGCTAGTTTGAGTGAATTTATTAGTTTCTTTTCCAAAGACCCTGAACTAAAATATGAAAACACAATTTCTTCCTATATTCATATGAAATATGCCAATCTACAAAAAAGCATCACAAGGACAAAATTTACTTCGAAACCAGAAAAGAAAGTGTCATTATTTAGCCTTACACTAGCTATGCGTCTTGTTTATCAACTGGTATGAAGTCTAATTATTGTGTTGGATTTATCCAATCGTGACACTTCACTCGTATTATCGGACGTTGCTGTTGTCGATTTAGAAACTAAGCAGAAAAATTATCTAATAAGTTTCAGAATCACATGGCTGTATTGTACTGTAGATGTTTCAACCCTGTCAAAATATCATCTGGATTTGTTGTCCTGACCAGAAAATCATAAACAAATGCAGATTGTACGATGACTGTTTTTTTATGTTGTTATGAGTCACTCAAGTCAGTGCAGTGCTTCAAAACATATTTTTTTCTCTGAAAGAACTACTTGTTGGGGGAGGCCCAGAACACATTGTGAACAAGTTAATGGGGGGAGGGGGAAACCTGAGGACAAATGACCTTTTCAAGCATTTCCAGAAACAAAATATTTTTGTAAAGATAACCCCAGCCCATATAGAATATCAAATAGTCGTCCCGCTCAGCACTTTTCCAGCTTCATCCCAACACCAGTAATGGCTTCACACACTGTACCACGTGATGATTGGCCCTTTGCAATGATGAGACCACACTTTCAGTACTCGGCTAGCCTGATTTGTATATGAAAATTACTAGCCAATCTCATTAAAATCAGATCTTAGTTCTCGCTAACAAAGATCTGAAGACATCCCATAAGGGGTCACGACCTTTCGTCCGACCACTTTTTCCTTCACTAACAGTAACAACGGACGTTATTTTTGTGACATATACATTGCAAGAGCATTCATGAAAATGCTAAGAAAAAAATGTAACCACCCGTTCTAGAGTTTTTCTATAGTAAATACATGGCGTGTCCGCCATGTTTGTTCGTCTAGTGGAGGCGGCCATTGTGCAGTCATTGCCTGGGTCAGTGTAGCGCCAGCGCAGCATACCCAGGGAACCAGGCTGATCCCATTACGGGTCACGTCAGAACGACCTTTCATCCGACCAATCAGTGCGCCACTTACCAGATTATGAAAGTGACAGTCGGAATGTGATTTCTAATCATGCAATCTCGTAAACTTTAACATGGGGTATTCCAAATGATAGTTACGGGTTTAACGACTGAATCCTTACAATCTAGACCATCTATTACAGAGCTCCAGATAAGCTTTTGGTGTTGTGGGTATTTTACCCTTGCATTTTAAAATCATTGGGTATCAGTAATTCTACCTGCGTATTCAAATTTCTGTTACCCACTAGTTTTTACACATGTGGGTATTTAAGTTAAATATGTAAAAACACTATTCATCTATTCCCTGCAAACTGGTGTCGTGTGGGTTCGAGAGCTTTATAGGACTCAAAAATACCACGATACTTCCACAAGAAAGTGTGATGGCAAATGATCATGATGTAACTGTAATCGTGGAGTTTGGCAAGGTTGACGGAATGCCCCTTTATAATTTCAAAATAAGTTCCTGATTTGCTAATCGAATACGCAGGGTTACTTCACAATATTTTGATGATACGCACAAGTTTTATTTTTGTAGCGTATCTGTAATGTTCGTTGCGTATTTGATACGCTTGGATTATATTTTACTGTGTATTTCTGCATTTCTGATGCGTATTTCACGCAGATACGCAGCTTATCTGGAGCTCTGTCTATTAGCCATTCCAGAATGTTCTTTTGTTCAGGTTTCAAATTTGTAATCGAGAATTTGTCAAAATATGTTTCGAAGCGTAGTCGCCAATTTGACGTCGTGAGAACCGATCTATACAATTAGGATACGATGACATGCATCTGTTGGGTCAGAGAGTCTGACCACCCGGTCCCGTTAGTCGGCTCTTCCGACAAGCGTGGGTTGCTGAAGACTAATTCTAACCCAGATCTTCACTTGGGGACTCATGTCAGAACTGACCCAGATTGCATCCCTGAGTTTCCTTAATGAAATATAAAGATCTGATTGTCACCTAGATTAATTTACTGAAATTCAGTCTTTGTCACTTAATGCTTGCCTTGATATGTGTGTTGGGGGCACAGTCGTCTAAGGCACTGTTATTTGCTGTGAAGAGTTGTGTCCCTTGGGGACGCCCGAAACCACTGATCGTGGGTTCGAAATCCTGGTTCACCCCGTTTATGTTTCTAGGTTTGTCATAGCACCATACCCATGCTTGTGGGTATCACCAAAGTGGTAAACATCTGTGACCTGTAATACTTCAGGCTTTCCTCTCACCATTGCTCACATTAAGCTGACATGCCGTGATACCGATCAAAGGGTGAAAGACTCCACTCACTCACTCACTCACTCACTCACTCACTCACTCACTCACTCACTCACTCACTCACTCACTCACTCACTCACTCACTCACTCATGTGTCTTGCCCTTCAGGATGTGCAGAACCTGCTGCAGGCAGTCGACTCCATGGTGAAGGCCAACGGTGGCGGCCATTACACCAACGAGATGTACGAGGAAGCTGAGCGGATCTTTGCCGAGCACGAGGAGAAGCACATCAAGATCGGTCGGGAGAAGATGATGAAGGAGATGGAGAAACTGCGAGAAGAAGCAGAGGAAGAACTCCGGCTGAAGGAGGAAGAGAGGGAGAGGAAGCTGGAGACGATGAAGGGAAAGCTGTCGGAGCTGGGCATCAGGGAGGAGGATGAGGAATGGGTTCATGTCTTCGGCAACCAGAGTCTGTCGCCGGTGGAGGAGAACACCAGGATGAGTCTAGGTCCTGCTGCACAGGCATCACAACAGATGAAAGACTCTGCTGTGCCGATCAGTGAAGAAGCACCTCCTGCTGTTGAGAAGCAGAGAAGCGAGGGAAGTATGACTGAGCGACGACCAGGTGGTGATAGCTTCAAAGCTGATGGTGCGTCTGTCCCTGCTGGAGTCAGTGGTGTCAGCCTTGGGGCCCAGGCAGGAAGTTTCTACAATACAGATTCATCCCATAGCACACAGAGAGAGTCGGTCAAGAAAAGTTTCATTGCCAATGAGCCACAGTATTCATTTGTAGATGAGGAGCCACATGACCCACAGCGTACATGTGGAAGTCAGAAGAGACATGATGAGAAGTTGATGAACGAGGCTGACAGGCTCCGAAGGGAGGCCAGTATTCTCCGAGAGGACGTGGAGAGGATCAACAGGGAACATGAGAGAGAGAGGGAGAGGATGAGGTCAAAGTTCATCACACGGCAGGGGGAGGCCTTGGAGAGCTTCAAGAAGCAACAGCATCATCAGCGGCAGGAGATGCGGCAGCAGATGGAGAACGCCAACAGCGGAATGTTCAAGAAATTCTTTCGAGCCATGAAGAATGCATTGAAGAAGGTGACAGACCCAATTGCAAGAGGGTTTCAGAGTATCTTTGCTGGAGTTGAAAGAAGGTCTGGCAATGACCATGATGAACTGTTCTAGCTGTCATGGAATGACATGATGCCAAAACATTCAGTGAATTGTGATATATGTGTGGGGGTTGTGTCACACGGTTGTGTGAGTAAGCACACGCAACTTGAAGTTATTCCATTGTGCTGGCAACTTCTCTTAGTGGTTGCTAAGCTTCCCTTACCTAGAATAACAATGAGGGGGAATCTATTATTTACTTCAGATGCAAATTCTCTTAATAGACTTATATTTCCTATTTGTTGTGTATTAATTATGAATTTTTAGCATAGGCAGACTCCAATGGATAGGAGGGATGGGTAGGAGGAAAGGTGGGGGTGGGGTGGATTCAAATGGGTATGAGGGGTGGGTAGATTCAGATGGGTAGGGGTGGGTAGATTCAGATGGGTATAAGGGGAAGGCAGACTCAGATGGGTAAGTGGAGGTGGGTAGATGGTAGGGGGTGGGGTAGATTCAGATGGGTAGGAGATGAGTAGATTAAGATGGGAAGGGGGATAGATTCAGATGGGTAGGAGGCTTGGGTAGGGGATGTGTAGATTCAGTCTGGTAGATTCCAGTAGGTATCAAGGGTGGGTAGATTCAGATGGGTGGGAGGGGTGGGTAGATTCAGATGGGTGGGAGGGGTGGGTAGATTCAGATGGGTTGGAGGGGTGGGTAGATTCAGATGGGTGGGAGGGGTGGGTAGATTCAGATGGGTGGGAGGGGTGGGTAGATTCAGATGGGTTGGAGGGGTGGGTAGATTCAGATGGGTTGGAGGGGTGGGTAGATTCAGATGGGTTGGAGGGGTGGGTAGATTCAGATGGGTGGGAGGGGTGGGTAGATTCAGACACTGTTCTTACTCACTTATTAAATGTAAAAAATTTGAATTTTCTTTGAGCATGTATCCAAACTTTTTGCCAGGCTTTACCCATTTTTGAGTGGTACATATTACAGATACATATGTTTGACTTTTATTTGTATATGACATTTCCAAGATTATTGCTGCCATAGATGATCATTAATGCTGCTAACCTTTCAGAAAGTAACCAGCATGACACAAATTGATGTGTTTCAACTGTTTGTATGAACTATTGGGTATTTTTTAATATACTCTTTAATAGGTTGAGGCACAACCTTCTGTGTGCTGTACATATCATTTGAACAAGGTGATGGCCACAAGCTTGATTCGGCTGAAACATACTAATTCATTGTTTGTCTTTAGGGATATATCATCTTTATGTGAATGAAGGATACCAATGTTTCAGACAGCACTTTTTGGATTTTGTGTTTTATTGATTCCCCAAAACCCACAATCTGTAAATAGATTAAAAAAAAGCAGTGTACAGTTATCTTTATTTGCCCATCATCTATAGCTTGATTGATTAGGAGAAAAAGCATATGAAAAAATACAACTTCAAACATCTTATGAAATTATGAAATCATGTTAACTTTCTTTTAAAATGTCAAATCCATGATATGTGTAGTCTCTGGCCACTATCAGGAGAACACAACTTTGGACACAAAATACATGGGCTTGTTACTGTCAAAATATAGCGCAATTAGCTGCGATACAGCTTAAAGTAATATTTTCTCACTCACTGTAGAAACATTAAACATCCCAGACTTTAACCAGCATACACATTATATTATCCTGCTTATTGAACAACCCAAATATTATGACTTTTAAAACAAAAAAATGATAGATCTACACGAAGACATTCATTAGACTCAATAAAAAAAGGGGGAAAAAATAAGAAGGCGTGGCCTAATTTTCCCTCAGTAGAAGCAACAAAGAGCGTGTAGTTTTGTAAGTGAACAGTTCACTGTGTCATCTCGAGATGTGTTTGTATATGTTTGATTTACAGAACTAAATTTCCAGTTGTGTATTTGTTACACGGATGAAGAATCATTGTGGGCAATTGTTCTGTTCTAACATTGGAATACCCTAAACACGATGCGTGTTAGAGTTACTTCCCTTGTGTATGTCAAGCTCCTCATAGCGATATCGCGTTCGCAGAGCTTTTTATTCTATCGCTGCCACCAGTCAAAGCTCCCCGCTGAGATAGGTGACTACAACCATACTTGGAGTTGAAATCGCAGCTCCCTGGGGAGTATACAACCTTAGCTGCCTTATCAGGCGCTAGAAGCTTAACAGTCACATTACCATCTCATCCTGCCTGGTACCCAAGTTTACTGAACAGAGGCCTATTTCAAACAAAGTCACATGCCCTAAGAGACACCAAAATGTGCTACATGGCTCAGTGTAAGGCCTGATTCAACAATGTCCTGGACCATATTTTTTTTCTGTGTACAATGTACATGGTATTGGGGGGGGGGTTTCTGCAATGTGATGTTGAGTCATTGTTTACTAGTTTAATACTATTTATTTGTTTATTGTTGGCTAAACATGATAAACTTATGTGTGCAATTTGGTTGTATTTCTTTTGTATGCCTGTTTTGTAGAATCCATATATATCAATTAAATCATTGCAAATAAAATATAAAAATTCATATCGTGTGGATTTCTACTTCCCTTATTATTAAGTTATCTTTAATCAGCCATGATCTTGTACCAGAGGTGGGACACGGGTGGCCCAGTCGTCTGAAACCTATGATTGTGGGTTCGAATCCCGGTTCGCCCCAATTATGTTTCTAGGTTTGTCAGCACCATACAGTGCTTGTGGGTTTCACCGAAGTGGTAAATGTCTGAGACCTGCATCACATCGGGCTTTCCTCCCACATTAAGCTGACACGCCACGATATAACTGGAATACTGTTAAAGTTATTCCACCGTAGATCATGTATTTACACTTTATGCACTTATTCAAAAAACCTTGTCACAGCGTAAGCATAAACTGTATGTAGCATTTGTAGATTTTAAAAAGGCTTTTGATTCTGTCAATCGCTTTAGGCTATGGACATGTCTACGAAAAGCTGGTTTACGTGGGAAAATGTTTACTATTCTAAAATCGATGTATTCTAATGTGAGATCATGTGTTCGTTGTGGGGATAGTTTAACAGATTTCTTTGATTGTCCTTTGGGCCTAAGACAAGGCTGTATTTTGAGTCCGATCTTAGTTTCATTTTTCATTAATGAATTATATTACGAAATAGCTGCCAGTGGTAAACATGGTATCCAAATGTTCCCAGATTTGATAGAAATATTAATGCTACTTTTCGCAGATGATGTCATTCTAGTGTCAGATACTGTTGTTGGTCTGGCAATTAAATATTTTAAGTACATACACGAAAGAATGGAAATTATCAGTAAATTTGGAAAACTAAAATTGTGATCTTCAGAAAAGGTGGTCCAATAGCGTCGAAAGAGAGATGGTCATTCGATGGTCAGTTAGTCAATATAGTAGATCACTACTCATATTTAGGAATCTGGTTCTCACACACAATGAATTGGAAAATATATGCCCTTGACTTGTCCTTGCGTGCAAAGAAAACTTTAATAAGTGTTATGTCTATTATCTCATAAAGTGGGATCGATGTCACCTAATATCTTCTTTAAGCTTTTTGATACCCAGATACAACCAATTTTATTGTATGGTTCTGAAGTATGGGGATTTCAACGTTATGACTGTTTAGAGAAGGTTCACTTATTAGCATGTAAAAAGTTTCTTTGTGTCGGATCTTCTACACCAAATTGCATGGTTTATGGTAAATGTGGGAGATACCCATTATATATTACCTCTCAGATCAGATGTTTAAAATACTGGTTTAAAATTCTTCATATGCATGAACAACTTCTCCCTAAATTAGCTTATAACATGCTTCTACATTTAGATAACATGGGAAAGAATACTTGGACATCGCATATAAGAAATCTTTTATTTTCGCATGGTTTTGGTTTTATATGGCTATGTCAGTCAGTTGGAAATGTAAATATGTTTCTTAATGAATTTCGGAATCGGTCTATAAATATGTTCTACCAAGAATGGCACTCCACTTTAGAGGATAGTTCACGTTTTGAATATTACAAAACTTTCAAGACTTTACTTCAACCAGAAATATATTTATTAGTACTCACTACGGAAAACTTAAGAAAACAGTTAATTAAATATCGACTTGGTTTGCTAGACCTATTTGTAAATGAAGGAAGAAAACTGTCCATTGAAAAAATGAAAAGAATTTGTCCATTGTGTAATCTAGGGATAGAAAATGAAATTCATTTTGTGTTTGTCTGTCCATTTTACAATGATCTTCGAAAGAAATATATAAAAGATTATTTAATAGCAATGTCACCGATAAACGCCTTTGTAGTTATGCTGACGACAAAGAACGAATTAAATATATTAAATCTTGTTCTTTATATTAAGCATGCATTAGCCAAAAGAAATGAATTGATCAAACAACGTGTATATCCCAATGTGTAACATATATAATTGTATCTACATGCGTAACTCTTTCTTGTATATGGGCCGGTGGCCTTTTGTACAATAAACTTCTTTGACTTTGACTTAAAACCGGCGCTAAACCCAACTCACTCACTCACTCACTCTACCAGAGGATCAAGTTTGCAAGCTCCAGGGACGAGGAGACCTGTACAAGTCAAGGTCAAGGTCAGAAATAGTTGTGAATTTAGGCAGGTGACAATGTCAACTCTGTTCATTCACTCACTGTCTCCATATTTTCAACAATGGATTTAATTACCCTATAAAAGTATTGGCAACAAGACAACATGGTGGGTGGTATTTTACACACTTCATAACACTATTTTGGCATGAATAATGTGTAATTTGATTCAGGAAGTGAATACTCATGACACTACATTATGTCAGCCTGATCTGTGGATCATTGTCCACTCGTACCATTCTCAGCTCCGTGAGGAGTATTCAACTCAAGCTGCCTTATAAGGTGCTAGAAGGTTTAGTCACATTACTATCTCATCAAGGCATGAAGATCCGGGGTAGAACAGGTTTTCAGCAACCATGCTTGCCCTGAAAGACCACTATGTTTGTCGTTGAGGCGATTTACTGGATCGGGTGGTCAGGCTCGCTGACTTGGTTGATGAATGTCATCGTATCCCAACTGTGTTGATCGATGCTCATGATGTAAATCACTGGATTGTCTGGTCCAGACTCGATTATTGACAGACCACCGTCATATAGCTGGGAAATTGCTGAGTGTGGTGTTAAACAACAAACAAGCCGTCTCATCTTGCGTATTCACTGCTGAGTGAACAGAGGCATTTTTTAAATGTGTGGGGCAGGACCAAAGCCAAGGAAACTCTGAGTCAAGCCAGCTGGATACATTTTGCAGTATGCGAGATGCCATGAAATACTTTTTTTCTGGTGTAGATGACAATATTTCTATGTTGAAATGTATTTTTCATCTTTTAATTCACGCAAAGCAATAAAAGATTTTTCCTAAGTTTTTGAGGACGCATAGTCATGCATTCATTCTATGTTAAAATATCAGCCTAATCTACTTCTAACAGCTGTGTACACTGACATGGCTCTCAAGTTCTTAAATTGGAGACCCGTGAAGATTCCGGGGTAGAATAGGTCTTCAAAAACCCATGCTTGCAGTAAAAGGTGACTATGCTTGTCGTAAAAGGCGACTAACGGGATCGGGTGGTCAGGCACGCTGACTTGTTTGATGCA